GCCCAATGTCCATTGCAAGCAAACTTTTTGAGCAAGTGTCTCGGTCAAAAATCATAGGGTCATAACGACATAGCCCCGGTAGTTCACCGTCGAGAGGTTTAGGAAGATTGGGGGTTTCACTTTCCCAACAGAGCAAGGAAGTGGTTAAAGAGATATCAAGGTTGTATGGCTTGTGAACACTAGGGAGCCATTCTACCCGACCGGTTGCGTAATCCGATTCTGCTGTAGACAGGTTTCCGCAGTTGTTCTGCTGGTTTGCAAACTGGAAAGTCCTTGGAGTGACACTGGATTTCTGCTGGTCTGTTGTGTTGATGTTCTACCGCAGATGTAGTGGAGATTGGATGTTCTCTTCATTCCTATTTGGAAGGTCCTTGGATGGTTTGGTACTAATGTTCTGCTTCTCCGAGCTGCTGCTATGGAAATGTTGAAGGTTGGAGATGAATTTCCATAACAAAAGGTTGTTCTTACCTGTTGGCAGGGAGATTGACCGAGTGCCTTCCATTCTGGATTCAGAGATACTTATGAAATCAGATTCCCTACCCACTTTCAAAGTCCTCTTCTCTGTATTTTTTGAGAAAACCCAGCAAGGTTCAAAAGAGATTTTTAAGAGGCATTCTACTAACCAACTAAGTAAATCAGAGTCAAGCCAAATAATGCAACTTCTCTTTCCTTCAATAGAGACACAGTAAGTTTGATTGTAAAAGGAGTGAAAAAGAGTAAAGGTGTCATGACCTAGGGTGAGAGACGCCTGAAGATTGGCCGTCTGCTGAGTACTCTTACGGTATTCCAGAAGGTTTCCGTGGATGAAGTCTGAATGTCTAGATGTACCGTCAAATCTATGATTGGCGCTTGTGATATTTTCACCAATATGTTGATAGGGTTCTCAGATTGGGCTCCTCCTTCCTTGAATTGAGCGCCGATCTGAGCTTCTACGCCGATTGTCATCCCGGATTGGAAGCCAATAGTCATCTCTGTTAGGCGATGAAATCTTACCTTCGTTAGACGATAAACCAGGATCAAAGGGCCGGTAGCAGCTTTGTACGTTCGGGTAAAGATCAGGGGAGGCTCTGCGAAATCCATCTGAGATTCTTCGAAGTGCAGATTGTCGTTGAGAGGGAGCCAATTGGAAGGTATAGCGAATTGGGCGGCGGCGATAGTCGCCTCTTGCCCCTCTCTCTCTAGAAAAATCCATCGATTATATATATATATATATATATATATATATATATATTTTTTAAATAAAAGAAAAGTTTTATTAAAATAAGAGGAGAAAAGATAAGGGGGGGTGGCCAGCCCGACAACAAGCCCAAACGAAAACCAATCCAAAAAAAAGAGTACAAGAGAATACTGCCAAGAAAGAAAACTGGAAAGGAAAGCTGCCAGATACTAAAAATGAAAGAGTAGCTGGATGTACACCAAAACAACTGCAACCATTTCCCCATTTGCATCCATGCAACACCTTCTGTAGTTTAAAAATATAACCAAAGATTCCACCAAATGTACCATCAAATCAGCATCCTTTGCATCCTACTCAAGGAAAAAAGTCCAAAACCTGAAAACAAAGTTGGGACCTTGCTAGCAAAGTGATGAACGTTGCTGCAAAAATAAGCAGCACTAGTTGAAACATGTTGTGTAGAAACAAGCTCCCGTATACTGTGGGTTGGAATAGCTGCTCCAACTCAATCTGAAACCCATACTCTAAAATAGAACCCTTAGGCACACT